GCAAAGAGAACGTTGAGGTTAGCAGGGGTCTGAGACAGGGATGTTCTTTGTCCCCGCTGTTATTCATGCTGTACATGGTGAGTATGGAAAAAGCGCTAGAAGGTAGCAACATTGGTTTTAATCTGTCACAAAAACAGGGCGGCATGATGATTGAGCAGAAGCTTCCAGGTTTATTTTATGCGGACGATATCGTCTTATTTGCGGACAGTCGAGATGATATACAGCAGCTGGCGAATATATGCGGAAGGGAAGGTGAAGCTCTTGGACTAGGATTCAGTGTAAGGAAGTGTGGATTGATGGTATTCAATGATCCCTGTGATCAGACGGTGTCCATACAAGGCCAAGAAATACCGAGGGTAAGTGAATACAAGTACCTTGGAGTATGGGTAAATGAGAGTGATAGATACATGGAGGTACAGGAAAAAGCCTCGGCAGCAAAAGGAAATAGGAATGCGGCAATAATGAAGCACAGAGCGTTGTGGGGATACAATAGGTATGAGGTGCTTCGAGGTCTGTGGAAGGGTGTAATGGTTCCAGGGCTTACTTTTGGGAACTCAGTGGTGTGCATGAGGGCAGAGGTGCAAGCGGGAATGGATGTAAATCAAAGGACTGTGGGACGCCTCGCGTTGGGTGCTCACGGGAAGACGACAAACGAGGCTGTAAAGGGCGATATGGGGTGGGCAGGTTTTGAGGCGAGGGAAGCGCAGAGCAAAATAAGGTTCGAAGAAAGGCTAAGAAATATGAAGGAGAGTAGATGGGCAGAGAAGGTGTTCCGTTATTTGTATAGGAAGAGCGTGGACACACAGTGGAGAAAAAGAACTAGAAGACTCACTAGTAAGTATACGGCTGGTATTGTAAGCCGTATGTCAACAAAGAGCGTTAAGGGAAAAGTCAGGGAGGCGGAGAGGATTTACTGGATGGCAGCTATGGAGAAAAAACCGGCTTTGAGTAACTACCGAAAGGGCAAAAATGAAATAAGGAGGGAGGCATTTTACGATAATTCAAGGGGAAGCGCTTTACTGTTTGAAGCGAGATCGGGTTGCCTTAGAACGCGTAGTTATAAAGCAAGATTCAGTAAAGAAGAAGAACAATGCACATGCTGCGGGAAAGATAAGGAAACGGCGGAGCATGTTCTGATTGAATGTGGAGATATCCACCCAGGTGTACGTTTGGGCACGAGCCTACAGGAAGCCTTGGGTTTTAGGGACAACAATGGAAAGCTGAACACACCCGCGATTGAAATAAGTAAGAGACGGTTAGAGTATTGGTGGCAGAAAATTAGAGAGAAAGGACAAAAATAAATATTGGAAAAATAAAATATGGACAGTGTGCCGTAAATGGCAGAGAACTTAAGCTGAAAATTTACCTTTTTTTCCATTAAGATAGAATTTGTCGAAGTAGAGGCATTAGGCCAACATAAAAAGAAAAAAAGGTTTTTTTTTTTTTTTTGTCGAGCCTGGTGGCATACTTGTCACCACCCCGTTATAAAGGGGACGCTCATAGCATCCATCCAGCATCCATCCATGCTGAGAGCTGGTTGGGAGAGGAGGGTATCATCGCTGAGGCGACCCGTTTTGCGCCCGCGCACGACACACTTGCCAATTCTAGTACACTGTAGCCAAATATATTCATCATCATAAGCGATTACTTCGCGAGAGTTCCAGTCACAGATATAAACCTCCACACGAAATAAAACGTAGACCACCACGTGAATTGCATGCATACGTCCGGCTCCTAAACAATGCACGCCCCTAACGTCTCGATGGTATGTACGTTTTGCATAACTGACCTCACATCGCAGTTCCCCGGCTGATCAGTCAACGTGAAAGAGCCAGATAAAGCAATGTGCTCTGAAATATACGAGCGCGCAACGCAAAATACGCGGACGGTAACAATCCTAATACTAATTTCTGCACTTCATTTTTGTGTATTCAAACCAGCAGTGCGGAATTTCTCAACTTTCGCAATCACATTTTATCGTTCATCTGAGTGCATGCTGAGCGCACAAACCGGTACCGCGAACTCAAGGCAGTCGACGCATAAGCTCTAGCAGTAAACGTAGCCTTGATTTGTTGACAAAGAAAAAAAATAGCGCCCACAGAAGCAGTAATGTAACTTGAGTGAGAGACGGCGACGTACTGCACAGTTAACTGCGACATGTCTACGCCATCGAGTTGAGCAAATGTCAAAACCAATCAGAGTGAGAGACTCGCAACTTCTTCGCAAGGTCTAATCGAAAATGCCGACCTGAAGTTCTCACTGCTTTTTTTTGTTGTTGTTGTTGCGACTCATTGCGCTCGAAGGTTTATTAAAAAAAACCGTCGAGATCGCGAACGGATCGCGGACTCACGTGCCATGAGACGTGGTTCGAGTCCCTCCGCAGCCAGGGGAGAGACCTGACACGATATGGAGAATTCACGCTACAAGCAAGGGTTTCGGCGTTGCTCCCCCAGAATCCCAACAGCTTCACAAATCGTTCCGCACGGACCGAAGCGGGCGGGAATGTCTGACCTATGGTGGCGTAGTACGTGACCCGCCGGCTCGAGTTTTGATTTGCTCCTTCGTGTGAATACTGCTTTACGGTTGGTACCATGAAGTGTTTTCAACCGTCCCTATACTTGTTCAGGTATCAGAAGGCGGAAGAGCATCCCACGGCAACCAACGACGACGCCATTCTTGGTTCACGTGTATTTCACAGCACAATGCGGAGGGAAGGACAAGTTCATATTCATTTAAGCAGATGCGTTTTAGACCGGCGAGTCTACACTTCGAGAGCGAAGATGCTAGTCGCGAGCGACTGTCGGCAAACGAACACTGAAAGTAGCCCCTGTGACGGCATCTTGACAATACCGATACGGCCCCGGCCTCGGAGAGGTCGGATGATGGAGATAAGAGAGAAGGCGCGCGTATAACCACGTACGTCGCTACTTTGCGAAGTTTAAGGGCTTTAGCGTTGGGCGTGCTCTAAAGGTCGTCGTCTACAGGGTCCGTGGTATCTCCTTTCGCGCACGCTTTTCAGACTCAGGAGAGGACGAAGGTCCCTTTGCTCACTGTCACGGCCGTGTCTACGATTGGAGTGCGCTGCTGACACATGATGAAGTAAAGCGCGTGGCAGAGGTGCGACTTTTCGTGTGATGCAGGAGCCGGAGTAGTGCCGTTTTCTGACGTTTCATTACATCGCACCACCGCGGCTCCTGTCCGGCGTGCATCAAACCGGCCAGGTATTTTCGTCTCTACTTCAGTACACCGCATAGCTTCAGCCAATCACAGCGCGAGCAGACGATTGGCGTCATGCTGTTTGTGGCGACATCTCCCTGTCACCGCTCCCATTACCCGTGGCCTAGGCCAGCCCAGGCGAGTCGATGCAGTAGAGCGAGCCTGGACTTGAGCACATCCCCGCTTGCGGCAGCGTAACAAATATTGAGTGCCTTTCTCTTGTGATGAGAAACCGTTCCGGTTCAAATTATGTGATGTTTGAAGTGGGCCATTTCTGCAAGACAAGACAACACCCGTTTTGAAACCACTAGAGAGATAGGAGATCGTGAGAAGCGATGCGAGGTCATTTCGCAGGTAAACACAGCTATACCTGTGATGTTGCGTCCAGAGATTTTTCCCCTTGTAGGGGAAGTTTCGCATGTCATTAGGGTCAAAGGGAAAAAAAAGAATCTTCGTGATGTTGCAGGAAACTTCAGGAATGGTTGAATCATCCTATGACGACCAGTTATTAGCAGTTACAGTGCGCCTTCATCTGCTGCAATCGGTTCTGGCGCATGCACTACGCAAGTATAGCCCGTGAGCTTTGTTTCTGATACTTATGCAGAGCAAGTTCTACTTGACTATTGGTGTTGTTAGGCTTGAAGTCCACAATGTGAAGTGTACAAACATATCTGAATTAACAAACTGATGCTTTTGTTGCATGGCAGTGCAGGAGTTATTTATGAGTTTAAAAGTCGCCAGTACGTCAGACATGTGTATTATAGCATGTGTGTGCGTGTATGGGGGCAGAAATTAGTACTGATGTGCAGAAAAATATGCTGAGAATTTCGACAACGTTTTGCAGGTGAAAATCCCTCAAATTGGGAATTTTGATGTCCCTGAACGCGAATTATTCAGCGTAGTACGGAACATCACTGAGCGATACCGGCGTCTCTGTGAGGCGGCGGCTGGCGCTCTCCATGCTAGGCTATAGCGAACGGAGCCGTGAATAATCAGCTGTTGCCGCTATTGCAACATGCTTGTCATTCACGAAGGCGTTTTCCTTATTATGTTTTACGGAAAGAACCATAGCCATACAATGTTGTCTGTTTTGAGCTTCGTTACGAGGATACTAAATCTTCTGACCATGCATGCCGATGTGGCGCATGGAGATGTAGCCTGCCACTCATAGCTTCTTCGCACCCCTGTGCCCCGAAACGCCACATGCCGGTGCTGGCGCATCGTCGCGCCACGCGCCACATCTCACCGAGAATCGCAAGTCTGGCTCACGCTTAAGAATTGTGTCAGTTGTTCGTGCTTGTCGCTAGTATACAATGCGCTCATTTGTTACGCCTTTCGGTTTGAGTAGCCTGCTTAAGGGTCCAGCTGTCATAGTTATTTTTCCGCGCTCGTCCTGTGTATGCTAATTTCGTGCGTTCTTTCTGCTTGAGGTGTGCGCTGAAGGTTTCGAGCCGCTTTCCGTTCTTCACGTGACTACACCATATGTTGCTAAAACAATGCCCAATAAACGCTCAGCTACCTCTCTGAAGACCCGTTTCAATTTCGTTTTTTACGGATTTCTAGATGGGGCAATCAGCCATGTGTTCTTTTTAGTTTTTATGTCTTATTCTGTTATTCCAAAAAGTAGGCAGCAGTCAGGCTATTTTCTCCCATTCCATCTTCGTAAATCTCACATTTCTTCATGTTTTCTTTCAAAGTGACAACATTGGTCACGAAAATGGACGCTGTGTCGGCCAGTATGACCTGTGCTGGTTTACAAAAAAGATGGGACACAAACAAATGAATCAGCAACGTTTTTAGAGTGATATTTATGGTTGGCAGTGACCTTTTCCCCAGGTCCAAACGAATGTCGTGAAATTCCATAAATCCGGCTGACCATCATGGGGGTCGTGGAACCCGGATGTGGACCAGCGGAACGGCGGCTGCAGGTCCTGCGTGGGTCCCGCCACAGCAATGAATTGAAGTCCAACGGCAAGTGACGTATTTGTCAACTGTGTGGAAAACGCGTCACCCAAAAAATAAATAAATACCATCTCGTTCTGCAATCTTGGCAGCAGCCATTGAGCATACAGCCGGCCAAATTGTTAGCGCGTGCGAGCGGCGGCTTTTAAGTGCGTGATTGCCGTACAACGTAGCCAAGTTGCAAACAGCGGGAGTGTTAGCGCATGCCCACAAAATGCGCTCAGAATGGTTCATCGTCCACTGGGCTGTTTCTTTTGAAGGACGTCACTGCGTAATTTCGCACTTCAGACAAAGACGCACTGCGGGTAGTGGAATGGCCAGTATCTTTTCTTCCGAAGTCGATCGTTACTGCAAGCACTCGAAGAAGCAAAATTTAAAGGCATGCCACAAGCCTGCCTTCAAGAAGCTGCAAGAGAGGTTCGCAGAAGTGCGCCATTAGGTGACTTCCTTTGCCTAGCAGATGATTTGCCCTGCTGAGCGCGCTTTGCGGGCATGCTCCTAACCTCGCCTAGCTAGAAACTTGGCTCCGTCGTACGGCACTGACGCACTGAGAAGTCGGCGCTCACGCACATTAGTTAGCTCTTATTGGATGTGCATTCTTACTAAGACAGATAACTTGAGTTCAATATGTGAGTACACTAAATATTACAGCCACGCTACTTCCAAACATTGGTCATATTCACAGGTAGGACCATTTAGTCAAACAGCCGGTAGATCGTTCACGTGGAGGGGCAAGATGCACAACTATGCTGTTTGCAGACGATGCCAGAAACAACAGCGTGTGTGTGGCGTACTCCGCTGCTGCCTTGATAGCCGCGCATTCGTTCGCGGCCGCGGTGGTCGTATTTCGATGTGCAGGTGAAGGGATTTCTGCGTGTTATTAATAATAAGACCATACGTTTTACGTTCTAAAACCACGATATGAGCATGAGAGACGCCACAGGGATGGCTCGAGAAATTCCTAACATATGGTATTAATTAACGTGCAGTAAAATCACACAGTATACGGGCTTCTACCAGTTCGCCTTCATCTAAATGCGACCGCCACGAGCGGGATCGAATCCGTGACCATTAAGTCAGAAGCTGAGCACCCTGCGCAATGTGTTATCGATGTGGACGGGTAGATGTGCGCGTACTGTGCCGTGTCAGTGCGTGTTCAAGAGCACCAGGTGGTCGTAACTTCTGGAGCCCTGCAATACGGTGCCCTCCAAAACCGCAACTCCGTATTGGCACGCAAAGACTCGCATATATAGTTATAAAAATAAAAAAACCATTGGACTTCGGAGTTTCACATGCACGTTCCAACACCTGTCGGAGTAGTTTTGGTTTGTGCAAAGTACGACTCCCTTGCACAGTTTGATGTAACCAAGTGCAACAAGCAACAGCAATACAACGCTTGACCTCGTTATTGCATGTGTCCGCGTGAATACGTGGACACATGCAATACTCAGATAAACAGCTGCTAATAGCTACAAAATAGCTCCGCCTGTCGGACGGCCGACAAGACCAACATGAAGTGCTTGATCATGCGCCAGAATGGCGGGGAGGTCAAGAGCCGACGCAGCAGCTCCACGCGCTAAGGAAAAAAACGCCACAAACGATGGCACTATTATGCTGTGAATTTTCATGTGCGTAAACGACTAAAAAATAAACTTTAGCTTTCACCAATTTTCGTAGCTGTGGCTCGAAGCAGAAAGGCGAGAGCACTAGATACAGGCCGTTTCGAGCGTGTTAGGTAATGGTCGCAAGACAAAGTTTACTATTAAAGGACAACTGTTATTGTATCGAAATCAAAGCTTCCACGGATTACCGTCTCGTCTGCAAGAATTATTCAATAAAAAAATGGAAGAGCCGACCACATAAGAATAAAAATGTAATGACATGTCGGCACCCGGAATGGGAGGCCAAGGTTTTGCTTTGTAAGTGTTATTGAACATCACAGTAGGATTCATTAGTTGCATACCTTCATGTCTATGCCTCCTCGGGATGCCGGCCCAAGAGCAGGAAAAGGGTAACGACCCATCAAAATGTTGAGGTCACTACGTGCTGATATGCCATTCGTGGCACTGAACGGAGGAATGCAGACACATTTGGAGGCAGGGTCTTCCTTGAAGCCGTTATACCTGTGAAGTGTTCAGTACCGTATTGCAGGTGATGTCTCTCTACACACATTCTATCACTTACCAGAAAACACACTGTCAGGTGCGTAATACATAACCAGAAAAAGGGTTCATTCGAACAGCCCATATAGGCAGGCCAATCATGTGGGCTTAAATATCTACAGGCGTGCTATGAAGATACAATGTCATTATTAGCATTTTGTGTCCGCCACGGTCATTTAGTGATCATGGTACGCGCGGCTGACCCCACACAGTTGAAGGTCTCCCATTGGAATGTGTGCAACATTCTTGTGTAGAAAGAGTGCTTCAGTAAAACCTGAATGAAAGCCAAGTGTCAACCAAGCTTTTCATTAGGTTCCATTCAACAACAAAACGAGAAGTTAAAATCTCTGCCTTAATGAAAGTTTCCCTTCACGACAGGCGGCAAAGCAAAGTGGCTTCCCAGGTTGCAAATTCCCCGATATGACAAGTTATTTAGATGATAATTTCAGAAGGCTCAATTCTGCATCGAAGTTCGTGAGATAATGTTATTGTTGGTGAGACAATGCAATGGCGTACTGGGGGGGGGTCATCAGTCATATCGTCGCCAACCATTCCACAATGTCCCGGCAGCCTTCGGAACACACTGCCATGTCCTTTCAATTGTGACAAAACATTTCCTGACTGTGACAAACACTTCTTTGTAGCAAATTGCTCATGTACTTTGCGTGTGTTTTGATACATATTGCAGCATCTCAAGCATTGTCTTAGTTTCGCGAATATATTTATGTTTGAGGAAGGCTTCCACAATACAAATTGGCCGTGTACCTGCGTGTGATAGTGTTTTATGTGGAGGCTCTGCAGGATATATCATATATGGCACCATAAGGCAGTAATATGTAAAAACGCCCAGCCTGCGCGAAAGGCGCAGCACAGTCACAGCGAAAGCTAAAAGAGTGGTTTTTAGTGTTTTCTAGACACACGGGATAACTGGTAAAAAGCACACTTGCTGGGTACCCACTACGCCACTAATAATCATTATTTATGTGCAGAAGATTGGTTGGTTGGTTGGTTGGTTGTTCTTCAAAGTCTAGGCGCAACCCAACACGGGGGGGATCAGCCATGAAATGGACGGTACCTCATTTGTGAGATCGAATTGTTTTACTAACCGGGTAATTTAGATAGGGGGGCTTAAACAAAGAACAGAGTGGTAAACGATGAGTTAGAAATAAAATAAACAGAGGTAATAAAAAACGAGCAAGCTAATATGGTTTGAAATAAAGTGAATTTATGCCTCGGCTTACAATTCTATTTGTTTTGTACGGCATTTACTATGCTATGCTTTGTTATTTTTCTGAATAGCGAGGTATCCGCTAAAACTTGCAAAGAATTTTGAGCCAATTGCTCTTGCAGCGGCTGATGATGATGAAGAATCATCCCTGAAGTGGTATGCGCCAGCTGAGTAATAAGTGACAAAGAACAACCTTCTGTAATAGGTTAGAGCACTGGACGACCCACATGTTACGCTATTCGCATTGTGTGACGCCTTGTTGTTCCTCTGCTGTTCTAAAATGTTTTTACATTGGCATCCTTACAGCAACATAGTATTTTTTTCGAATTTCGTCTTTTACATTCTTGCATTGTCACCAAAAACAGAACTGTATACGGTGACCAAATGCTACAGTTATGTTTACCAACTAACTTAAATCGATTACTGAAATGAAATGGTCTAAATGTATCCCCTCTCTCACTAAAAAAGCTACGTGGCATGTTTGTGTGATTGCTTGAGCTGTGATAGGTTCATCTGTTGTGTTTTTTTGCAGTCTTCTTCACTAAGGGTATTTTTTCACTTGGTTTTTCAAAAGGTTACACAATACTTTTTTTTAAATATTTCTCACCGTGTTTGTTTACTATTTCTGCTTGTCTGTTCATGCATTAGGTATTGGGAATGCTTTCAGCCACTGAAAGCGCTCAGTGCGTAAGGTGGCCATGTTCCTCTCAAGCTGCTCAGGGCAGCTGTTTCGCCTGGTCTCCTCGTAACTTTGTTGCGCAATGAACTCTATTCCATATTCAATATCAATCCTCATATTGACGCGATTACATTCCCCACATCAAGCAGCAGAGTTGCCCAGTGGTGGGACACCACACTGGACCGCGCTGGCCCGCGGTGGACACCGGTCTCGAGCCCCAGTGTGCCTTTGGTGTTCTTTTATTAACTGTTTTTTTTCTTATTTAGTGCGATAGTGGTCACGGACACCGGCGACAACGGCAGTGGCGGACAACTACGGCACCGCGCGTCACCCGTATTGTTATAACAGCTTTCTGTGAATAAACGAAAGGTTTAGAGCGCTGAGCCGCTGGTAGGTGGCAGCATCGTGTAGTTTTAGCTACATGATGTTCAGTTCAGCCTGTCACGGTGGATGAACGTGTTTTTTAAGCGCTCCGGATCGACTGCGCAGATAAGTGTTTTTGCATGTTTTGAGCTTGTCTTTATAATTATAAAGCAGCGGTTGAAACCTTCGTAGCACCTATTTTGTGGTACGGCTTTTTCGGGGGCCAGTCCCCAGGTATTTATTAGTTAGGGCGGGTGTGTGTGTGTTTGATTTTTTTGTTGTTTTTTTCTTTTGCCACCCCGTGGGGGAGGTGCGTGTACATTGAACACGCAAACTTTTGTAGTAGAGCTTAGACTTTCTTTTTTTTTTCGTAGTGCAAGGCTCAAGTTTAGTAATTATCGAGTATAGGGACAATTGATGTCAGAAAGACATGGTTAAAAAGACTGTAAAGTGTTCAGAATATGGAGTGGGTTCGAAAGTTGACCCAAGCGTAGAAGCGGATGGAGAAGAGGCTGACGCGAAGTGTAGGCAATGTGAGGTCGAGGAAAAAATGGAGAAAATGATGGTTGCCCGAGTGAACTGCTGATGAGAATCGCCTAGCTCGAGACTGCGTTGGTGACAGAGCAAGAGAAAACGAGGGTTATGGGAGAAAGACTGAAGTCCGCCGAGGAAGCACTAGCGAAGCTGAACAAAGAAGCGGCCTTCGGAGAGAACAGTAGGGAACTGGCAACCAGAATGGCGGAGAAGGAAGAGCAAGAGAGTTCGGATAAAGTAGGTTCAGCCGGTTCAATTATCACAAGGTCCAGCTTCAGCGAAGTAGTGGTGGGGCTGGGAGGGGACAAAGAGCCGGCGTCACAGGTGCAAGTAGCCCCCAGGTGCAGGACGTTCCAGCTGAAAAGTCACAGCATGTGATAATCGCCGGGGACTCGAATTTAATTCGATGCACAGAAGCCATCAAAGAGAGGGTAAGAGGTGACAAGAGGGTTGCAGTAGGGGCGTTCCAGGGACGCAAGTTTGAAGCAGTCATGAGGCAAGCGAGCGCAAAACTCAAAACTACAGGTGATAGACGAAACCTCGTGATAGTTTCAGGCGGTTTAAACGATGTCTTAAAGGAAGATACAGCTGGACTAGCAGCCACACTGGCAAAAGGCGTCGATGACATGCGCGCCACTTCTTCTAAGGTACAGGTAGTGATATGCACGATACCGGAGGTACCGGTGCGTGATAGCAACCTGCAAAGAGTGGTTTTCAATGCAAACCAAGAGATATGGCGGATGAGTCGAGAGAAAGGCTTTGAGGTGGTGGAAATAAACAAAGAGGTGCATAGGTGGGGTGGTTTTCAACGAGACAGAATTCACTTCGATGGGCGGCTAGGTCATGAGGTGAGTTGGCGACTTGCAGGACGCGCAGTAGCTTTTTTGGGGAGCAAGCGAGCCCTTCGAGGTGCACGATAGCTAGTAACGAGGAAAACAACCAGGGAGACTCTTAGACAGGTGGTATGAACAGATACGATTGCAAAGTGGCACCATTATCTAAGATAGGTAGAGTCCGGGGCATAAACGGACGTAGCCACGAGCGCCGAGCCATTTCAGACATAGGGTATATTAACATGACGGGTGGTAGGAACAGGCTGAAGTGGGAAAAGATAGAACAACAGCTAAGGGAAGAGAAGCCGATGGTATACGGTTTTGTAGAAACACATCTCAGGGACATGGAACAACCACCGAACAATCCGGACTACGCGGGAAAATATTGTAATAAAACAGAAGGCAGCAGAAAGGGGGGTGGTATTGGGGCATTCATTCATAGAGGTACAGACTGGCAAAGGGTCAAGCAGGAGTGCAAGGAACATTTATGGTTGAGAGGAAAAGTGGCAGGTCAAATGACACTCCTTGGTTTCGTGTACTTGTGGACGGAAGCAAAAGCCAGAGAGGAAAACCAGGCAATGGTAGAGTGTATATCAAAGGACATTCAGGAGTTAGGTAGAGAGTGTGAGACAATTATACTAGGAGACATGAATGCGCACATAGAAGATATAGATGAGTATACCGACCCGACAGGCCAAATGATCATGGATATGTGTGAAAGGCTTGATTTGATCATTTGCAACAGTACCGAGAAGTGTGAAGGGCAAATAACATGGGAGGTAGGAAGGCTGCAGTCGACAATAGATTATGCACTGATGTCACATAGGATGTATGATAAGCTCAGGGGAATGCACATAGATGAAGGTGGCTCCAGAAGTCTGGGTAGTGATCACAAACGTATCAAGCTAAGTTTTGGAAGAGCAGTGAAAGTGGGAAGGAGACAAGATGAGAAATTACAGGAAAATGTTTATCCAGAAAGGCAAACTGAAATAGCCACAAAACAAATTGAGAAAGTAATCACGGAGGATAATAAGACAGTGTGGACATACATGAATCTATCTAGACTCTTTGAGCTAGAGCTTGCTAAGACGCGTGACAAGTCACCCCGGAAAAGAAGACACAAACCTTAAAGTTGGTGGGATGAGGAAGTTAAGAGAGCCACAGCAAAACGTCAGGAAGCCTCTAGTGAACACAGACATGCTAAGCAGCGGGGTGAACCAACAGATGATGTTGAAAGAAAATGGGAAAACTTTCTAAGCTGTAGAAGGGAGGCATTCATTCTGATCAATGAAAAGATTAGAAGAAAGAGAGCTCAGTGGCTGGC